CCTTTAGACTTGACCTTCCTTCAGCCTGGAAAGCCTTTCTTGCAGATCTTTCCCTGTGTACGTTTCCGTCATGCAAATATTAGAATCTCACTTCCTCTGTGGAGCCTTCGCCCACCATCTGTGGTAAGACAGCTTCCCTCCTCTGGCCCCTCCACCCCGACACTCTTTATCCTCTTCTTGTCTACCGAGCACTTATCAGTATCTGAAGTTATATAATTTATTTGTTTCTTTAAGCATTTTAATCATGAAACAATCTAAAATTCAAAAGGGAAAAGTAATATAATAGATACCTATGTATCTAGATATTAATATTTTGCCTTGTGTCAGTTCTCCCTCTCTTTTTGAAGAAATAAACCAGATAAAAATAAGCCCCATCCTCCATCCTTTCTCCTCCCTCCCTCTCCGCCACTGAAGTTAGAAGGTAGCCTTCCCATGTACCACAATGTGTGAAAGCGTAAACAATACAGAATCTATATTACAGACTTAATTTTTGTATTGTAAAATTATACATAAATGATATCCTATCCCTTTTTGGAACTTGCCTTTTTTCCACTAAATGTTGTTTTGAGATTTATCCATGTTGATACATGTAGGTTTAGTGTGTTCTTTTATTCTGCTGAATCCTTTCCTATGATATAAGTAAACCACAGATGATTTTTGCATCCCCTACTTGAAGGATAGTTAGGTTGTTTTGCTTTTTCTCTTTTGTAAACAATGTTGCAAGTGACCGTCCTTGCCCAAGTCTATTTGTGCCAACCTCTCTCTACTGTAGACACTTAGAAGAGAATTGCTGGGTCATAGGATATGCGTGTGTTCAGAACAATTCCCTAATTACCTACATTACTATCTATACCTGTATAGGGTAGGTTGGTGGTGCTGTCACTTTGGTGCATGTGGAATCACCTGGAGGGCTCCTTAAAACACAGATTGCGGGGCCCCATCCCTAGAGTTTCTATTTCATTAGGCCAGAGGTGGGGGCTGAGAATTTGCGTTTCTAAGATGTTTCCAGGTGATGCTGATGCTGTTGATCCGAGGACCACACTTTGAGATCCACTAGGTCTGGGGAAGTCAAATCTCTGTGACTTATTTTAACAAAGGCTCTTGCTCACATTCTCAAACATGGATTAGAAAGGGGACCCTGATCATTTTGGCCCTACCATCTTATGATGTTATCTCAACGCAAGGCTTTCAGAATTTGGAGGACTTCTGCTAATGGTCTTCTGGGTTTCCTGCGTTGCTGTTGAGAACTTTGATGCCATTCAGATTCCCTATTTTTTACTATTATCTTATTTTTCTCCTTGGGAGCTTGCAGAATCTTGATCACCACTGGTCTGAAATTTCATGTTGATGTGCTCCTGTGTGGCTCTTTTCATCCACAGTGCTTGGCACTTGGTGGATGCTTTCCTTCTGGAAATATATGTCCTTCTGTTCTGGGAAATCTTCTTGAATTATTTCTTTGATATTTTTATTCTCTTCATTTCCTCTGTTTATTCTTTCTGGGAGCTGACAGCTAATTGGATCTAATGGTTTAATCCTCTTAATTTTCTTTTCTTTTCTTTCCTATATATCACATGTGTTTATAGTTGTTTTATTTTCTAGAAGGTTTATTCAATTCTGTCATCCAACCTTTCTATTACTTTTACATATTTATCATCATATTAAAAAAATAAACTTTATTTTCTTAAGAACAGTTTTAGATTGTAAAGAAACTATGACGATAACACAGTGTTCCCACATACCCCACACTCAGTTCCCCCTATTTTTAGCATCTTACATTAGTATGGTACATTTGTTACAATTAATAAGCCAATATTAAGGCTTTATTATGAACTAAAATCCGTAGTTTATTCAGATTTCCTTAGTTTTTGCTGAATTTCCTTTTTCTGTTCCAGGACCCCATTAGAATATCACATTAGATTTAGTTGTCATGTTTCCTTAGGCTATTCTTGACTTTGGCAACTTCTCAGACTTTCCCTGTTTTTGATGACCCTGACAGTTTTGAAGAGTACTGGTCAGGGATTTTTTTACAATGTCCAATCAGGAATTTTTTTTTTTTTTTTGTGAGGAGGACTAGCCCTGAGCTAACATCTGATGCCAATCCTCCCCTTTTTTCTTGAGCAAGACTGGCCCTGGGCTAACATCCGTGCCCATCTTCCTCTACTTTATATGGGATGCCACCCACAGCATGGCTTGCCAACCGATGCGTCGGTGCTCGCCTGGGATCCGAACCTATGAACCCCGGGCTGCTGTAGCGGAGCGCGCGTGCTTAACCGCTGCGCCACTGGGCGGCCCCTTTTTTTTTTTTTTTTTTTTTTATGATTAGACGGGAGTTATTGGGCCTGGGGAGAAAGACCACAGAGGTTAAGCACCATTTTCATCATATCATATCCAGGGTATGTACTGTCAACATGACCCACCACTGTTGAAGCTGACCTTGCTCTCCTGGCTGAGGTCCTGTTCCTCAGGCTTCTTTCTTCCCCTGCCCCCCTCCCTGTGCTCTTTGAAAGGACGTGCTGTGTGCAGCCCACACAAGCTGCAGGGGACCAATGCTCCATCTCCTCGAGGGCTCTGTCATCATGTTTTTATTTCTAAGAACTTTATTTCCTGGAAACATTGTTTTAAGTAATCTTTAGTTCTTAGATTATGGTCACAATCATTTATCTTTCTGAGGGTATTAAAGTTTTTAAAAGTTTTCCTAAGCTTTCTGCATTTTTCTTCCCCCAACTTCCTTTTTATATGTTTGTCTCCTTCAGACTAGAATCTTTTCTCAAACATTCGTTGATTCTTGGCTGTCTGTTCGTATTTTAAGACTGGGACATTACAAAGCTGCAGGGAAGCTCAATGTAGATGAGGCTTGTCGACTGGTAGGCAACTGGCTGGCTTGTTTCACTGGGTGTATTAGTTTCCTGTGGCTGCTGTAACAAATTACCACAAACTTGGTGGCTTAAAACAACGGAACTTTATTCTCTCACAGTTCTGAAGACCAGACATCTGAAATCAGTATTGTGGGCTCAAATCAAGGTGTGGCAGGCCACACTCCCTCCAGAGACTCTAGGGGAGAATCTGTTCCTTGCGTCTTCCAGCTTCTGGTGGCTGCCAGGATTCCTTGACTTGCGGCCACATCTCTTCAACTTCCACCTCTGTGTTCACATTGCCTCCTCCTCTGTATGTGTGAAATCTCTCTCTGCCTCTCTCTCATAAGGACACTTATGGTGGCATTTAGGGCCCACCCAGATAATCCAGGATAATTATCCCACCTCAAGATCCTCAACTTCATCACATCTGCAAAGACTCCTTTTCCTTATAAGATAACAGTTACAGGTTTATGGGATGAGGGCTTGATACTTTTGGAGGGCCATAATTCAGCCTACTACCACTTGCAGTATCTGGAGTTTTTCTCTTCTTGGTCAGTTCCTCCAATGAGGAATTCTCTAACCTACTCCTGCCTAGCTGTTGCGTTCTTGGAACTGAGGGGAGGAAGGGGGCATATACCTTTAAGTTGGTAGACTTGTATCCCTGCTTATAGTAGAGAATTCACCCTTGATGATGTCTAATGACCCCAAGACGAGAAAGACTTTAGTTTAACCTCTTCAGAGAGGGAGCCCCTAGTCTTGTGTGATGGTAGGGGAAGGGCCGGGGGTGAGGGAATGGGCTAGAGGATCTAGTTACCTTTTAAACATATTTGTAACTAATTTTCTTGTCTGCTGAACATCTGAAGTAGAGGCACCTTCAATTCCTGGGCCTTTCTGGGGCTCTTAGGCAGAGTGAATCAGGCTGCTTGTGAACCTCGATATCAACTTCTAGTCTCCTATGTAAGGTATCACTTGTCCATAAACTTTCCATTTTCCAAAATTTTGTCATTGTTGTTGTCTTTGCGGATTTTTATGAACTAAAAAGACTCCCTTTAGTGTTTTGTGTGTGTGTGTGTGTATTTTCGGGGGAAGCATGGGTTCAATCTGCCATTTAAAATTATGTGATGCTCTTACAGCCATTACATAAAACAGTATGGAGATTCCTCAAAAAGTTAAAAATAGAACGACCTTAAGATCCAGCAATCCCACTTCCAGATATATATCCAAAGGAGATGAAATCAGTATCTCAAAGAGATATCTGCATTCCCAAGTTCATTGAAGCATTATTCACAATAGCCAAAATATGGAAACAATGTAAATATCCTTTGACAGATGAGTGGATAAAGAAAATGTGGCGTGTATATATACAATGGAATATTATTCAGCCTTAAAAAAGAAAATCCTGCCATTTGCAACAACATGGATGAACCTGGAGGACATTACATTAAATGAAATAAGCCAGACACAGAAAGACAAATACCGCATGATTTCACTTATATGTGGAATCACAGAAGCAGAGAGTAGAATGATGGTGCCAGGGGCTGGGGGGAGGGGGAAATGAGGAGGTGTCCGTCAGGGAGTACAAAGTTTCAGTTATGCATGATGAATAAGTTCTGGAGATCTAATGTACAGACAGTGTTTTCCAAACTTATTTTTAACTGTGGAATGAGTCTGACCACCACTATCACCTGCAGCACTTTTGTGCTGATAATTATTTCCTTTTCTCCTTTATTCTGTTAATATGGAGAATTTCACTGATCACTTTTTCTAATGTTAACTCAATGTTGCATTCCTGGAACAAACTCAACTTTGTTGTTATATATATATAAAAAAAAATTATATGTGGCTCTCAATTGTGGTCTCCCAGCCAACATCATCAGCATCACCTGGGAACTTGTTAGAAATGCAAATTCTCAGTGACCCCAGACCTTCTGAATCATAAGCTCTCAGGATGGGGTCTAGTAATCTGTGTTTTACCAAGGCTTTCTGATGAGTCTGATATATGCCAACGTTTGAGAGCCCCTGTTGTAGAGGTGTGTTGATTCTTCTCCTCTTACCCTCTCCCATGAGAATCTGGGATCATTTGGCCCAAGAGCACCATCTTAAGGCCCACGGTGAGACCTGGAGGAGGGCAGGAGAAAGACTCACCATGTGTCTGTTTTAGAAGTAAATATTCCTTCCATGAAGGCCTCTGGGGGCATCCATTTGACAGGCAGCATTGCACAGCCTCCCTTTCGGTAGTAGCTCGCTCTGTGAGGGAGAAAACGAAAACTCAACTTTGTTCTAGTGATGGCTCTGAGAGGAAGCTCCAGGCAACTTGAGAAAGTGGAAAAACAAGGTCTACCCATTAAAGGATTGAAATTAATGAGGTGTTCTTGTGGTTCAGGAGGAGAGTAGGGGAACACAGATCATTTAGTTAAGAACTTTGAGGTCATTTAATAGGAGACAAAACAGCCCTCTGGAGGCATGAAAGAAAACATCTATACAATGACTAAAATATCTACTAGCAGATGGTTAGATTTCCCTGATGGGTTTTGTTTATTATAACTCACAATGAATAACACTACTGCAACCTTGTAAGTACAGCCTGTTCCTGACGATCCACAGTAATGCAAGACCCAAAATGGGAGAACTGAGAGCAAGGCTTGTGTCTTATTCACTTTGGATCCTCCACGGCACTCATACAGCGTTTAGTTCAGTATAAGCACTCAACAAATAACCTGGGAGCTGGTGGGAAGCTGCCTCCCAGAGCACACCCCGACAGGAGAACACAGGGCTGGGGGCGGAGCTGGCTTCAAAAGCATAGGAGTTAATTTGTTAGTTTTTATCAGTGAGTTGCATTAATGACATCACTGATAAAAAGTAATAAATTAACTCATACCTTTGAAGCCAGCTCCTCCCCCAGCCCTGTGTTCTCCTGTCGGGGTGTGCTCTGGGAGGCAGCTCCTCGCCAGCTGCCTAGATTAATTAATTACTTCATTAAACATATACTGAGTATTTAGCATGTATCAGGTACTCTGCCATGTGCCAAGGACATAAATAAGTCATAGTCTCTCTCTTCCGAGGATACGGTTTAGTGGGAGAAACAGACACATAAACAGTTGCAGTGCAGAACAACACATATAATGATGTAGGTATGTAGGTAGCTCAGTGACACAAATGGAGAGTTGATTTGTTCCAGTTGAAGCGGGGGGGTAAGGTACAGGAAAAGTGTCATAGAAAGGGGCTGATGGAGCTGAGTGGTGAAGAAGCTCTCCCAGAAGACCGTCCCTGACACATGAAATTGCACAGGGCGTGTGGGAACGGTGGTTCCAGAGGTAAGTTAGGGTGGTGAAGCCTGGAGGTGGGGAGCTCACTGGGTAGTAACAGAAGGTCAAGTGGAGTGTCCCGAGGTAGTGTGGCGGAGACCAGTGGCAGACGACTGTAGTTAAAAACATTCCTAACTCATAATTCTCCGTGTGCTGCTCCATGGTAACAGGACGCCATCAGCATTCTCACCCCGTGGAGATTGTTACCACTTCTGTCGGAGGCCTTCAGGGTCCCCCTTATTCTCCAAAGAGTGAAAGCTCTACAGAACCATCTCTCCTCACTCTACCCCTGGATCAGGGAAGGTGTAATTAGTGACCATGCAAAGGAGGGACTTGCTCAGCTCAAGAAACAAGTCACTGTTGTAAATAATTAGACAAAGAAGAAGCAAGTGTTGGGAAGAGATGAGTGAGAGAAAGTGCAATAGAAGTGTTTTTTTTTTTCTATTTTAAAAAATTATTTTATTTTTTTAATGTAGTCTTGAGAATACGACAGGGAAAAAGAAATAAGGCTGAGCTAAGTACCTATGGGCTTTGACCTACACTCCTGTGTCTCTTGTGGGTAAAGAGACCAATGAGCTGGGCCTAGTCTCCTGGCAGTTCTCGGGTGCTCTTTCCTGGGATGAGCAGTCTGTTTAGAATTCCTGAGTATTGAGGAGAGGAGTTAAGTAAGTTGAAGTTTATGTTGTAGCCTTTTCCCATATCAAGTATCCAGGTTATTCTGTGTCTCAGAACATGCTAGGATTAGAGAGTGGGAACCAGAAAGACAACCTAATTAAGAACTTGGTGTCAATTATTGCTGGCAGTACGATCCTAGGATTAGACCTTCAAGCACAGGTACCAGTTAAGGTTTCCCATATCCTGAAAATGAACTCAATGGAATTTTAGGTGGCAAGTTGACAAGGTACAACAGATGATTTAAGGCACAAGCGGCCATTCACCTGAGGGGATGAGGTTGAGGAGGCGGGCTTTAATGGGTGATGGCAGTCCTTACTCACCTGTAGATGTCTCGGGCCATTCCAAAGTCTCCAATCTTGGCCACTCTTCCAGGGCCTGGACATGTCAAGAGGCAGTTTCTGGCAGCGATGTCCCTGGAAAGAAAAAAATGAGAAAATGCACTTCCTAATTTTATCCCTGGTAAGATAAATGTATGATATTCATCGCAAGGATTTTCACTTCCAATTTGAAGTTCAAATAGTTCCCTCCTCTGCCCTATAGTTCCTTCACTTCATTATACTTCAGTTTGAAAGACATAGCTGTACCAATTCTAGGCCTCAGAACTAACAGAGAAATGGAAAAAGATTAGGGAGATGATTGGAAATGTTTAATGGGATAACAATAATGAAAATAACTATAATAGAAACTAGAATTTATTGGCTTTTTACTATAAACTGAGCATTGTTCTAAGTGCTTCATATCTAATTCTCATCACAACCCTATAAGATAGATGGTGCCATTTTAATCCATGCTAAAAGCGGATAATATAGGGATATGAGAAATGCCATTTGGCTTTAGGCTATTGTTTTATACATTTTGCTGATGGTTTCTGCCAATTGTTTGAAGGAGTGTCCTGGGACAGCAGGACTTCCATACTCTCAAGTTCAAGTAGGTCCAGGTATTCCCAAATATTTCTATTTTTCTTTTTTTTTTTTTGGTGAGGAAGACTGGCCCTGAGCTAACATCTGTGCCCATCTTCCTCTGTTTTATGTGGGACACCTGCCACAGCATGGCCTGATGAGTGGTGCGTAGGTCTGTGCCCAGGATGCAAACCTGTGAACCCCGGGCTGCCAACGTGGAGCATGTGAACTTAACCACTACGCCACTGGGCCGGCCATTTTAGTTTTCTCTTTTAATAAGCCATTATGGTTCTTGCATCCACGATTTTATCTAAAGTCTTTGCTAAGCCATATGCATCATTGTTACATGGCTGAAGAATCACATCTTTCAAGTTATAAAGTTATCTTGTCTTCTTCGTTGTTCTATTGCAGATGGCCTATTTTCCTACAGCATGCCTCTAAGGCATGACTAGAAGCTTTCCAAGACTCGTCAGCTTCCACTGGCTGCTTACCCATTCTTGATATGTACGTGGGAACCAAGGATGCAGCCAGAGGAAGCCTGGAATGGGTCTCTAATAATAGTAAAGTCCTGGACAGAAAAACAAAACTACTTCTTAGGGGGCACAGGTGGTGTTTTCATATTTTCAACTGCTTTCATGGAGGTCCTGATCTTTGGTTGAGAAAGAAGGACACGGAAAATAAACAACTGGGTAGTATCCCCGTGGCTTAGCGGTTAAGTGCGCGCGCTCCGCTGCTGGTGGCCTGGGGTCGGATCCTGGGCGCGCACCGACGCACGGCTTCTCCGACCATGCTGAGGCCGCGTCCCACATACAGCAACTAGAAGGATGTGCAGCTATGACATACAACTATCTACTGGGGCTTTGGGGGGGGAAATAAATAAATAAATAAAAATTATTTAAAAAAAAGGATCTGGATTGGGGATCATGGCTTAGGATACCAGAACAATGGGCCAGGATGGGAGATGGTGTTGTTAATGCCACTGACCTGATCCAGGACATTTAAGTTGAATTTTGAGGAGCAATGTTGAATAAAATGCCCTAATAAAACTGTAAAAGCATAACACGTATGACATCAAAAAGAAGAAAAATAGTGGGATATATAGCTATTATTTCTCAAGAGAAATACAGCGAAGTAGACCAGGAACAATATTTATGGCTCCAGAAATGTCTTTATGTGGATGTGCATGGAATGATTGCTTAAAAAAGTGATCTTGAATTTAATGGCAAGAAAGTAAATGTAGCATCATAGAACACACCAAGAATTGGTAGAATGACACATAATTCTTGAAATGGCAATAAAGTATGTCCAAAGGAAACAGATCTAATAGAAAAATGGGAGTATGTGGATCTGGTGAAGGAGGTCTGCTCTGAATTTAGGAGTGCGTGGGAATCTGTGAATCTTAAGGCAGATATAAGGTGTAGAAGAGAGAGAATTAGTTGTAATACTGTTGTGGGAATGTGCCACACACCTCCCAGAAGATATAAAAGACGCTTTCCTAATCGCTCTTACCCCAGAAGACAAGTTTTGATTGAGACGGACAATTTTTGCTAGAAGTTGCCTTTTACTTATAAAGCAGATCATCTGATATATTCTTGATTTTATCTCTGACATTTCACTTCTCAAAAAAGATAAAAGGAGCAACAAACTATTACTCTGGGATCTAATTCTGACCTTCAGTAACTATGTACAGATATGAAAGTGATAGGAATCTTGAGAGAATGTGATCCTATTATCTTATTAGCTATAGTAACAGAGCACTGGATATAGTCAAAATGTATCATGGCTCTCGGGAAGCAGATTTCAAAATAGCAGAGGAAAAATGGATATGCTCCCTCAACCAGAGAATCTGTGTGCTTGGTGACTAACATGGGGTGGAGATGAAAAAGCAGAAACAATCTCAGGGAGAAGCAAAGGGCTCTGAGACCTGAAGTCACCAAGGTGACTACACCGGTTGCTCTCGGATGAGTCCCAACTTAAAGGATATAGACAAAAGATTGATGGAAATATGGATCTAACCAAGAAGGAATTCCAAAAAGAGCACAATCTTGGCATGTCTGAGCAACAATAAAGCCCAGAGCTGAGATTTCTGGGAAGTTCTGAGCACAAGAAAAAGGGCAAGAACGGCAATGGCAATGGCAATGGCGCTGTGAAGCAAAGGGTGAGCTTGGGCTGAGGACATAAAAGACTGGCCCCAGCTCCTCTCGTGCGTCTATTTTCTGTCTAGCACAATGATCTGCAAGTTGGAAAGGTTTAGAAACAAGAGGAAGATCTGAAGACCAAAACGATGATGTGACAGCAACAGGATAAACCAATGTGAGAATTTATCACCTTGTCTCAGGAATGACTTTGGGACTTGGGTGAGTGTATTTCTTGATCTTTAATTTCCCCATTTTTATTAGGGAAGAAAGCATAGCTTGTTATTGACTTATGTGCTTTTCTATTTCTAAACTCATACAGCACCTCTCATTTCCTACTTTGTACTCACATATTCTACTTACTAGGAACATGTCTTTGAAGACATGGGTTAATAAATGATTGCTAGTTCACCAGGTTGTTATTTACTAAATTAGAAGCAAATCATTAGGACAGCTTTGCAAAGAGCCTAACAATCTATTTGAATTTTCAGATTTCTGAGTCAAGCTGTCAGCTGAGAAAAGTCATCAACATCCACATGGAAAGAAACATGTGTAATCTATGATGCCTACAGCATTATATGTGGACTTGACGTCCCAGTCCAAACACCATTTAAACATAAAGGTCTTATAGAGTAGAAGAAATGAAGTATAGAAGTAAAGAAAATAATCATTATGCTTCATTTCAGAGTATTTTAGAAAAAAATTATCTAACAAACATTATTGTGCCCCACTATATGCCAGGGATACGAAGAAGAATACAGCAGGGTCCTTGCCTTTGAGTTATCCATAGTCAAATATGTGAAAATATGGATTCCTTACTTCCCCTTAAGGAGCCCAGTTTTCTAGGTGGGGGAAACATTAAGGTGACACAGGACTTGAACACACCACTGCAAGATAGAGGCAGGAGTCCCCGAAGGAGGTCAGGAATATCTCATGTAGGTGTCCAGCACTGGGATGGGTATTTTATGATACCCATTTTGCATACGGGGCAAATGAAGCCCTGATTCCATAAGTAATCATCTTAAAGACAAATGAAGCTGATCATCCAAACAACTTTGGAGAAAGACCTACTGTTCTACTCTGAAGGGGGAGATCTGGGCCCTTGAGACAGGGAAGCATACAGAAGGCGGGGGGAAGAGCAAGGTCACTGACTCACCGGTGGATGAAGTGATTTTCCTCTAGATACTGACATCCACAGGCGATGTCCTGAGCCACGTGCAGAAGGTCCAGCATGGCGAGGGAGGAGGGCTGATTCTGTGGGGACATGGAAACGATCCACTAACGAGAAGCTCTTGCGGGAGAGAAAATCTGAAACACTAGCTTCCAGGGCTCACGAGTAGGCCAAGCATGGACACGCTGTCCACCTGGGGCCCTGGCCGCACAGGAGAAATCACCTGGCGGCTTTAAACAAATGCAGATGCCTGGGCCTCCACCCCGACTGATGAATCACTGTCTCCGGTGGGCGCAGATTTTGTAGGTTTCACAGCTCCCCAGGTGAGTTAACGTGCAGCCAGGGCTGAGACCCCAAACCACAGGAGCCCAGGATGGGGCAGATGACTTTCGCTTTTCATTTATTCTGCACATTCTTCCACCCTCATCTTCAGAAACATTTGATCCCTTAAACTTATAAACAAGCCCTGAGAAAATCAAGGGGGAAAATTTTTTTTTTAATCCTCTATTTAAATGTTTAAAAATATTTTTAAAAATTCGTTTTCTTCAAGAAGATCTAGACTTAAAGGGGAATGAAAAAGAAAAGCTTTTGGAAAACGCTGGGCAGCTGAAAAGCGATCTCAAGCTTTTCTGTATGAAGTCTCCTTTGTGTAAAAGGAGACGGCACCCTCTCTGGGGTGCAGCCTGTCTCAGCTTCTCGGACAGTCTGTCGAGTGCCGCGAAGTCTTTTCTGAAGCCACCATCCTGTCTTCACTCTCTTTTAATTCCTAAATCCCCGAAGTCTGCAGGAGCACGTTGTCGTGCGGGGTCACATTCACTTTGTTGTTCTGTGTTTATTTTTCCATGTCTCTAAGCCAACTTTGAGGTCCCCGAGGCAGGGGCATCAGCATCCACGTCCACGCTATGCAGCACAACCCTTGGATCACAGCAGAGGTCCATGGAAATGGGGGGTTTGTTAGTTGATTACAATTGAACTAGGATTTACTTAGATGCCGGTGGGGGTGTTCTCTGTCATGGATCAGGGCCTCCCAGGACTCCTTGCAGCAATCATGTGGGTCTGGAGGAGGCAGAGAGAAGCTGTGCTGCACGAGGCCATGCTTCAAGTCTGGAGGAGACAACTTAGGGAGGGGGAGTTTCTGTCCATAGAACATCAGGCAGTGATTACATACAATACAGCAAGTCCAAGTACATGGTCTCCTTGGTGCAACGTGCTGCGTGGTCAGTAGGGAAGAGAGGTTATCTCCATATTAAAGATGAGAAGGCTGAGGGCTCAAGAGAGGCTAAGTGACTCACTCCAGGTCACACAGCTAATTAGGTGGGGCCAAAACTGCCCTGAGCTGGACTTTAAGGATATGAGTTGGGGGAGGAACAATTCTAGGATTTAAGGTTGAGCTTCTCTGAAGATCGTGTCAGAGAAGGGATGCAGTATATGTGGACACGGTGCCCAGTACCCAAGTGAATACAGAGCACAGCACACAAACGCAGTGAGCAGCATATTTCAGTGGTCAGTGGAGCTGACCTGAGCTTCATCCCTGTTCCTCCCTTACTGGCTGTGTGACCTGGAGCTAAGTGCTCTGCCTCTCTCCAAGCCACAGTGTCCTTGTCTGTGAAAGTGGCATGACACCATCGATCTCACTGGATTGTTATGAGGACACTCAGAAAGAGGCGCAGAATGGATGCTTCATCAAGTGGTCTGCAGTTATGCATGGGGTTACACTGTGTAGGGTCGTGGGGGTCTCAAGAAATGGTCCTTGTGTTTGGCTTCTCCAGGGGCCTTGTTAGAGTCAGAAGTACCAGGCACTGTGAGAGAGACAGTCCCCATTTCCTGGAGAAACGAAAGTAATATACTTCCGAGGGAAATACACATCTATGTTGCTATTATATGTATTAGAAATATCTTCAGGAAAATGTTTTCTCTTCCTACCAAAGGAGGACCCAGTCCTAGCTTCCCCTGAGTCTCTTTGTGTCTTAGCCCCCATCACTCAGGATGCGAGGACCGTTGTTCTCAAATGCTCTGTGAGCCTGGCGCTGCAGGGACTAAATCTTCCCAGGCATTAACCCACGGACCAGGTTTATCTGGGCTCCCTGTCTTTGGCTGCTCAGAGCAAATTAACTTCTCCGCTAATCAGTCTGCACAGAAGCAGATAGTTGGCAACCCGTGGCGTGTGTGTGTGTGCTCACGTGTGTGTGTGTGTGTGTGTGTGTGTGTGGTTGGGGGAGGTGTGGACGTTGTTGCAAAACCAATACCTAAACTAGCAGTGAGAGTGTAGTGGTGTGCCCAATGCCATTTGTATCCATCCTGGACAAAGAAGGAGGTGGAATCCGCGTTTTTTTGCCCGATCTGCCACTTCCTTTGGCAATCAGACATTCTTCAGGCAGTCGTGGTTATGGATGTAGCCCATCCAGCAGTCAGAGAGATCTCGTCCAGTATTTCCTGAAGCAGGCAGGTGGGATGCCCTTCGATCAAACAGGCGTGGGAATTCCCGGGTTAAATAGGTTTCTTTATCACAGGAATTATCAGAGTCTTTGCTATATACTAATGTGCATTGAGAATCAAGAAGAGGGAGACTGCAGTGGCTCTGGAATTTGACCACAGAATTCTTTTGAGCGTGCATATGAGTGTGCAGCACCTCAGGGCACCGGCTTCCTTTCTGGGACACTGTTTAGACTAATATCCTCTTTTTACAGGTGAGAAAACAGGCCCAGTGAAGTGGGATGATTTCTTTCATCACAGCTTCTGAGGGGCTATTCCCAAAGGGTAATATATACTAATAAGACGGAATAATACTGATATTTATCCTTTCCTTAAGTAGCTTCTCCATAATCATTTAGAGACAAAGACTCACAGGACATGGGATAGGAATTGTTTCACCAAGTGAAAAACTGAATAGGGATATATTTAAAAATGGATGCATATAAGGGCGAGAGGGAAAGGTGAAAGGAAGAAGCAAATGCAGACAAGGGACACAAAATACAAAGAGCAGCAAAAATCCATTTTGAGGAGTGATGAGAAGTTACTGCAGGAGCCCTCATATTTCCTGGCTCCTAATGTGGCCGACTTTTCACTGGCACCAAATGCTCCTTCATGCATTTTGGAGCCAGCGTCGGTATGGCAAAATCAGAGCCAAAGATCTAAACCTGAGCATTAGTCCATCGGAGGTTCTCACCTGTACACTGTGACCTCTGGGATCCAAAGAGCCACCTGTGTACTCTAGAGCCATAACTTATAGGCATCACCAAGTTCCAAATAGATGCAGACACTATTGTAGTTAATGACCGCCCCCTTTAATAAAGAGATTACTGACTCCTTAATGGCTTTTGTCATTATTGATTGAATCAACAGATACTAAAAGACAGCTATTCGCGTATATCTGGCATATATTAAACCCTCAATAAATACTTGTTGAAAAAAGATAGAGTCTGCATTTTTCGATATTAAAAAAGGTCCTTTCTTCTTTAAGAGCTGGGGTCCTGGGACCAAATGATGTTTTCATCTGTACTTACGAATTTCATTTCCGTGATAGACATGGTTGGCCAGAGCTTCTATTCTGTCCACTGAGTACGTACGTCTGTTTTGTCACTTCATGTCCATACACACATTATCTGAAGCTGGAGCCTCTTAGACCGTCTCTGAGGTCCTTTGATCCTGACGATCTGTGGACCACTGAGGCCCAGGGAGGGCAGGAAGTGAGGATAGAGACCTCATCTGATTCTGAATGCCCAGGCGAGTGCCTGTGCACCGCAGGTCATTAGGTAAGCCCTGACAGTCTCAGGGGGTTCAAATAAATGAATCGGGTGGAATTCAGGCCTTTGAATCCAGTGACTTCCACAGCCTGGAGGCACAACTCTGCCCACCCTCTCTTCAACGTGTTTATTTCTCCAGCCCTGGCGTCCATTAGCCAGTCCCTTCTTCATTGCATGTAGGATTCACTGATATTAGCCCCCTCTGTCCACTCTACATTGCATTCCTTCCCACAGTCACTCTGGACCTCACCCTACTACGTCGAATCTCGTGGCTCTGAGAATTCATATAGGATGCCCAGCAAACCTCTTAAACCCCCTGCAGAAGCTGCTATCACAAATGCATTTGCATGGGGTCACTCCGGAGGGCTGTAATGTGACATTTTAAATCACCCCTCATGGGCAGGTATCTCAGGAAGGACCAGCTCCCCTGGGATGGGTGGCTGTATATGAGGGTGAGGAGAAGGATGATTGGGGTGCTACTGAGACTTGGAGGCACGGTTGGCAAGGAGAGCCACCAAAGGAGGAGCAGGATCAAGGGTTAAAAGAGCGAATTTGGCGGGTGGAATCCTGACCCTTAGAAGTGGCTCTCCCAAGGGGAGTCGACTGTCTCCTGGTAGTGGGCATGCCCTGGGCAGTGCCTGCTGTGAGAGGTCAGAACTTGGCAGCAGGCCCCTGCTCTGAGCCTCCCTGGGGTGGCACTGGGGTGGGAGGTGGGGGGAGATGTCAATGATCTTTCTTTCCTTGCTGGTGCTTTGTTCTCTGAGACAATACTCAAACTACCTTTCATCATCAGGGGAGAGAGATACCTTTGCCTGCAAGAGAGAGAGAATCCCCCCACTCCCAAGGTCCTTGGACTGGCTAAGTGGTGGGTTCTCAGAGCCCCTGTCCAAGGAGGTCTCTCTTTTGCATGCATAATACTTCCTTCTCCTCAAGCCTCAGGAATGTCCAGTGGGAAAACCATGGATCTGACTCTTCCCGAAGTCTGATGTCACGTGTCCCCCATTTGACCTCTGCCAGAAACACTGTTGAGAATCTCAGGGCATGAGGGCTGAAGGCTCTGTCTGGCTGGGTGGTGCTGGGAAAGCCATTGAGGCTGGTGCCCAGACCCTGGCAGAGCCGCCTGCATAGCTGGCAGTGTTGGTTCTCAACGACCCAATCTCATGTTGACACTGCCTGGCTTCTCAAAGAGGATCATTGGGATAAATAGCACAGCAGGTTGGAGGGAGCACTGAATCAGTAGTCACAAGTCCTGAGTTCTAGACCAGCTATTCTACTTCTTGTGTGGCCTCGGCAAGTCACATAACCTCTCTGAGCCACAGTTTTCTAGTCTGTAAAATGGGGGTAAGATCTGTCTACTTCATAGGATGGTTTTGAGAAATGTGAAAACTATGAGGAAGATGATAATAATGGTGATGAGGATTATTACGAGGTGGGGTTAGTCTTTTCTCCCTCACATCCTCCTGCCAGGTGTACTTAGGTGCACACACACTCATCTTTTCAAGGAGTTGGACAAGATTCTTTTTATATGCCAAGATGGGTCACCCAGGGGCTTGTAGGAAGAGTGTGGAGGCTCCTAAGGCTAAGGGATTCTAAATGCGGCCTGACCGTAGGTGGGGCTTGGAGCAGGCGTGACCTTTTGAGGGTTCTGCCACCACTTAGAGTCCTTGTGAGCAGAGTGTTCAGTTCTGGGCTCTCTGTAGCAGAGCGGCTGTCGGTCTGTCTCTGCTTTCTTGGGGGTTGGGAGGGTGCAAGTCTTCCCTGTGGTCCTCACAGTCCAGCGGCAACTCGAGGAAGCCAAGTCCTAACTCGGGGGTCTGCTCTTCTCCCGTTCCTGGTGACCCGGGCCTCCTGAAGACCCTGGCAGGACAGGAGTGGGCAGCTAGACTCTGGGTCCGCACAGTGTGCTGCGTTCTATAATGTAGAACCACCTCTGAGACGTTCTAGTCCGGCCCTGGGATTGCACACTGCAGAGACTGAGGTTAGAGGGGGCAGACTGCCCTAAGCCTCGTGGTTGTGCAATGGCCAAGCAGGCCTGGGGCGTGGCATTCCCGGGTCCACCTGGGTTTCTTCACTCCTCCAAGCTCTAGCTCCTTCGCCATCACAAGTGCACAGCACCTTCCTAAATACCTCAGCACTTTATTTTGATAGTAAAGCTACAAAGTCAGGATGTCGCCATTTGAGGGATGAGGACCGTGGGGTCCAGAATGAGTGGATGTAGAGTCATTTGCCCCAGGTCAGTTGGTTGAGTTAGTGACATGGCTGGCATGAAAGTCCCCCCCTGTGCTCGTCTCTATCACAGACCGGCAGGCTATGAAAATGGATTCAGGCCAGAGAATCCACTGCACAAGCCTTGCACAACCTCCACAGCACCGTTGGCCACCTTCTGTCCACTCTGTCCCAGCCATGCCCCCAGATCCAAGGCCGAGGGCTGCTTTCCTTGACCCTCTGAGTATGCCGCTTCCTAGGCCGCCCCCTCTTGCCCCTTCCACCCCCTGTTCCGTTCCATGGCACAACCACTGGGGAAAGACTGGTTCTCACTCACCGGGCGAGGGCGGGTCTCCCGGAGGAAGGACTTGAGGTCTCCTCCCGCCATGAGCTCCAGCAGGATAAACCGGGGCAGGGCTTGCAGACTCACCCCAATACAGCGCACGATGTTCTGGTGATTGAATTTACTGCAGAGCAGGGGGGAGTAACCAAATTTAACTGAGCTGAGTCTGGGAAGATCTTAGGGGGAACATCAGGATACAGTTATATTTTCAGCAGCCACATTATGTGAATGCATTCTGTAAATGTGGGTAGCAGGGGTCCCCCGCTGAGCCTAAGCCGAGAATCTCACTGCTGAGCGGGTGGAAGAACCAGAGGGTGGGCCCAGCGGGAGTTCAGTTTGCACAAGAGTATTTGGTTGGAGGCCGAGGACGCTGTACAGGCACTTGGGTGAGAAAGTGGAGTCGGGGGACAGGGCAGCATCGAGTGTCTTTCTCAGAGATTGGTGCATGGACGGCTTGCTAGGATTCGTGTTTGAGTTCTCTGAGGAAGGGCTCAGGTGGAAGTTGGAGGAACTGCTTTCACGAGGGACTGTGTGAGACCTGCCAAGTGACTGCGTGTGAAAGAGAGCGAGAAAGAGGCCATTGGATCCCACTGTGGATCCCTCACGGGGGCCCTGAGATTTGGGTTTCCTTGTTAATGTGATCATATTAGGACACATGGGGCAGGGGGCCAGGGAACTCCACATGGGCACACACACGCTGAGCTGAACGACTGGGTGACTAGACGCTGAAATATAAGGGGGGTTAGTTATTCCTTAGTAGTGAGACTGAACGATTTGGGCCTCCTTCCATAAAATCTTATACTGTCCAAGTTTTATTCAATAATCATATATTACACGTACAATCAGAAAATAAGTTATTGTTAAAGCAAGACGCTGAGCCCCCTGTGTGTCCTCCTGTGGCTCCAGACCCCACAGGCACATCATACACTGCCTTGGCCTCAGTTCCCTGCCACTTCCACCAAGCGGAGACCCCAGGCCTCCCCAACCTATCAGGGTGTTCGAGGCTCCCCTGTGCCACAGGAGGCCATGAGCTGGCCAGAACTCCAGGTCAAACCTCTGTGTCCTCCTTAAGGTGATCTGCTGTCAGAGCCCTGGGCACTGAGATTCCCACCTACTTAGGGGCCCTGGAGCCACAAGTTGCAGCGTGCGGGCCAGCTGGGTGGACCAGGGTGGGACAGCCTCCAACAGGTTAGGGGCACATTTCCTTTACACGAGATCTAAGAGCTGGGATTGGTGAAGGGCCTGGCAGAAGAGTTACCTAGAAGGAGATTATGTCTTCTACTGTCAAAAACTAGGACGCTCTATTTCTTAAGAAAAAGGGAAAAAGAACCAATGGACTACACAGGGATGCTGGTTGAAGGTAGAGTGATATTGGTGGGATTATTAGGCCACAGATTATTAGGCCTTTTTTCTGAGACAGCCATCTGGGGCTATTCCATTCGTAAGACGTGTTAAGAATTTTGGGAAGAAAAGGGTGTGCTGGAGGTTAGCACGGTTTCTCTCGGAGACATCTGTCTGTTAGAAATGTCTCCACGTTCCTTATAGGGGTGGGGAGGTGGGGGGAGTGTCTCTCTGTGGCTTTACCTGATGATCAGGGCTTCCATGAGGAAATCCAGTTCGTCCTGTTCGGAACACACTTCAGGCAGCGTCTGGGCACAGAAGGGGAAGGTGGGAAGGAGGAGAAGACTGTGAGCAGCGGGAGTGAGAGGCTGTCAGCCCAGAGCTGCAGGCGACACAGACTGCTGGCCAAGGTCAGGCCCACGAGGGAGCCGCCCCTTACCTTTACAGCCACTTGTAGGGGGCTCGGGTCGTTGGGCATTCCAGATACCTGACCTTCGTACACCTCCCCAAATGCGCCATGGCCCAGACCCCTGTGCAAAGGAGAAGGCAAGATGAGGCGAAGGTGGGTGGGCCACGAGAAAGAGGCGGGGGGCTCATTTAGTGGACACACACACGAGGCGGGGGTCATGCACCCACTCAAGAGCCACACCCTCAACCTGGCTTTGCTATGCAATCCGGGGTCTCCATTGCTTCATCCGAAAACCGGCAAGAAAGCTTCCAACCAGGGATTCATGGCATTGGTTGAACATTCATTCAATGAATACTTATTGGGTCTCTGATATTTGCCTGGGACGTAGAGGTGAATAAGATCCGGCCCGCGCCGGGGGTGGGGGTGGAGGTGGGAGGGCAGGGAGGCTCGCCCTCCCTGGGGAGGGACAGATCACTGGCAGATACTTCTGTGGAGTGTGGCCAGTGAATGATAGAGGAATGCACAGGGTGCTCTGGGAGCTTGGACAAGGGAGGGGCCGGGAAGGCTTGGGAGGGGCACTTGAGTGGACTTTGAGGAGTGCCCTGGTTCCTCCCATCTAGTCCTCCTCTCATTGTACAAACCCCATGAACATACAGCATGCTAAAATAAATGATTCAATATCCCTTGTGGCCCTAAACATGAAACCTTCCCCCCTGGGAGGGCTGGAGGTGCCCTGAGGGGTGGCTTTGCTCGTTTCTTGAGGCAAGAGGAATGCGTGGCGCAGGGATGACATCCAGCACCTAGAACTCCCCCTTCCCCACCTGTCGCCCCAGAGGACCCTGGCGGGGCACTCACCGAAGGAGGGTGATGTTTTTCCGCGGCACCTCCTTTAGGTCACTGATGGAGGAGGTCTTGCCAGCGAAGCAGTAGTTGGGGTTGTAGTCGGTCATGATGGTCGAGGTGCGGAGCTTGCTCAGCTTGTACTCGGGGCTCTGCAGCTCCATCTGCATGGCCTGCAGCTCCTGGTGCTTCCGGCGATACACTGCAGACAGAGGGAGGTCACCTGCAATGTGGCCTAGACCAGGCAGCCTGGGCCTTGGAGCCCAGCACAGGCCACCTCCTCCAGGAAGCCTTCCTGGATTTCCATCTCCTCCTCTGAGATCTAAACATTTCCATCACACTTAGTAATACTAACAAGATGATTACAGATGCAAAAGTGTACTTTTAATGGAAAGGTTATTTAAAATAAATGTAAAGCTTAAAATCATGTAAATGGAAAAGATTTTATTGCCTCATACAGGGGCACAGATACATTAGTTTGGGTCCTCCGAGAAGCAGACCCAAGATGGGATTAAATGTGCAAGAATTTTATTAGGGGAAATGCCTATGAGAGAAAATCGGGAGTGAGCAGAGGAAGGCTGGGAGAGCCATCAGACTGTGTTCAAAGTCTGACCCCACATGCAGGAGAGAGCAAGGGAGGGCTGAGTAAAGACCCTAGACAGCCATGCAGCCCAAAGAAGTTTCAGCAAGACTGTTGGGAAGTTCCAGAGCCAAAGGCCGCCATCAGAGGAGTCCCATGCCTCCGTCGTTGGGCGGGGCAGCCTCAGTGCAAACACGGCAGTGGATTTGAGAGTGCAGCCGGGGCTCCTGTCACCTGTGCTTGCTACAGTGGGAGAACTGCCGCAGAGTGAAAGCTCTCTAAGCTGGCGCCTGAGGACCTGCGTTCTGATTGCAACCTCGTTACTAACAAGCTGAGAGACACTGACCAGGTCACGTGACCTCTTTGGACCTCAGTCTTCTCTGTAAGCAGGGACAGTAACTCCTGCCCTATCCCCTAAGCCCCCCCACTCTCCACCCTCTAGGGTTGTGATAATGAAATGAATTCACTGACATAAAATGGTTTTGAGACTTCTAAAGAGCTCTACCAGTGCAAGTGACCACTATCCCAGTTATTACTATATGTGAGAATATTCTGTAAGGCAAACTCCACGGGAGGCAGATGACATGGCGATTCACAGGCTGGATTCTGCGTCTACCCACCGCTCATGGGCCAGGGCATGTGAGTCAACTGTTGTGCGCTCAGTTCCCTCCGCTGTGAAATGTACCAACCATGATCATGTGGTTATTTGAGGATTTAGTGAACTAAAAAGTGTAAATCACCTGGCAGGTAGTAAGTGTGTAACAAGTGTTAGCTCTAATCATCCCGTCTCCTTCAAGGATGGCATCACATGGGAATAACATGCTGCCATCTCCCTGTCCATCCTCTGATTCCCTTGCCCTCGAGGGGGCTGGCTGAAAGTGCTGTCCGGAGCTGAGCCTTTCCCTCTGTCTTCCTCCATGTCCCTGCCCTTCTGCCCTGGGCATTTCCAGCAATAAGAGCCTGGCCGGACCCTGCTGTGCCCTCTGTGACCTGCAGATAAGCTCACCTTGGCTTACAGGCCTAACAGAAAACTCGCAGAAACCAACTTTGCGTTCCTGCTTGGAGTGGGGACGGGTGGGCTGCAGGCATTACACCCGGAGAGAGCCAAACCAGGGGCGGTGCCCACTGAAGCGCATGTCTGATGAGAGCTGAAAGTGAAATCTGGGGTGGGGGCGAGCTTTAGCTATTGTGTCCACCTCTGCAGAGTGCCCCCCCCCCACCTCCTTGAGCAGCTAGGAGGCTATACATGGGGCTAAGGTTTAGAATCAGGGAACTGCAGCTGTGTTGGGGGGTGGAGAGTGGGGGGCTTCTGTCTTGACTTGGCCTGCGCTGCTCGAATCACCACCCACCCAGAGTGACAGCTCAGCATATGCGGCACAGCCTGAGACACTGTCCTGTTCTGCCAGATCTGCCTCCTCTGCCCCCTTTTGGAAACTCCAGGGCTCTGGCACACTCACCGATCATGATGCCGGAGAAAGCCAGGACGAGGGCGGCCACGAGGGCAGAGGTCACGACGGAGAGGATCAGCGAGAGTGGCAGGTGGGGCTCCGGGGTGGGCGAGACTGGAAGACAGGTCCCCACAGGGCATCGAAGACCACACTGATTCTCCTTTGTGCTGGCCCCAAGTCAGGAACACCCTCCCCGGCCAGGACAAAAGCCACGCACTCCTCCCCGTCCCTGAAGACCCCGTCCACCTTCCTTTTCAGAGGACCAGGGGCATGAAGCAGGTTCATCCTGGTTTACAGCTTTCAACAGTACATTTGGGTGGAGGGAACTCGTAACAGGAATAAATATCAAATTCTGGACACTGGTCCAAAATGTCAACGGCACAATGACAGAATGAGGATGAAAGGTGAGCAATAGTGGCTACAGAAGAGACGCAGGGGCCTTAGGTGACGACACCCAATGTGGCCCAATAGTAAGTGTGCCCGTCAGTAACACACTGAGGCTGAATTACTTCCCGTGGCCCTGAGAGCGCTGGGCCCAGAGCACCGGAGGGAGGGTCCCGGAGGCACAGGGACACAGACCACACTGAGGCATCATGTCTGTGACCAGACACCACATTTCAAAAGGGACATTGACAATGGGAACACCTGCAGACGTGGGACACCAGGACGGGGAGGAAACAGAAAGCTGTGTCCTGTATGAAGGGATTGAAATAAACGGGTTATTTAGTCTGGGAAGACTTGCAGGAGGACGACGGAAGCACTGTCTTCACACATGGCCCCGAGAGGCTGCTCGTTGCAGCTAGGGAGCTGAGGAGCAGAAGTTGAAAGGAACAGGGTCCCGGCTCTGTAACCCCCTGATGGAACAGCGTGCCTTAGGAGTCTCGAGGTCCCTGTCACAGGGGGGCTTCGGTGGAGGTGGGATGGCCCGTTGGTGGGGATGTGAGGGTTCACGCCCTGGGTTAGGGGTGGGTCTAGATGGCTTAGGACTCCTTCAGGAGCCGTGACCCACCTTCCACACACAGTCCCTCTGCCCAGCCCTCGAAGCACTCTCGCTGGGTGCAGACAGACTGGGGTCAGGAAACTGCGTCTGAGGTGTCCCGGATCCACGGAAACCAGCTGCGGCCACCAAGGGCCGAAGCTCAAGCTCTGAGCCTCACCCCCATCTCTCCTTCCCATCCCCTTACCGATGCAGGAGACGCCGTCCTCGGCCAGCACTGTCCCGTGGTCACAGAAGCAGATGATCTTGTGGCTCTCGGGGTCCATGTGGCACTCGTCTACCTCACAGTGGCTGCAGTTTAGGTAATGCTTAATATTCACTTCCCCGTGGCCCTCCATCACTGGTGACAGGGAGGGAGGGTCAGCTTCAGGCTAAGCCTGCGAAGCCCGCCCTGCACCCCATTCCCAGCCTCTGTGCTTTTTCTCCAGCCGGTCAGTGTGGCTTCTCTGGTCCCTGTTCCTACGGCCCACTGCCACTGGAAGCACCGCTCTGTGTAGGCAAGTCCCTGGTGCATCTGGTGAGTGGAGCTCAGACAGAGGACGTGGAGGTGCATTTTTGTAGGTGAGCGGGAGGGTCCACAGGTGTGACCCGTAGGTTGGCTGGTACAGGTAAGGGGACTATTACTGCTGCATTCTCCAGGACCAGCCTGACTGGTAGTCAATATTCTGCCACTGTGTCCATATTAGACCACACATCCTGACTTCCAGAAAACTTGGTGAGATGAGCACCAGGAAGACTTGCCTACAAGGGACACACAATCATGCTGTATCCTGGATGCATACCAGCAGCCCCGAGGTTTTAGCTGGGAGGGAGAACAGGCCTAAGGAAGTTGGTCCTCCACCTGGCAGAGGGCGATACCTTTTAAAGCCGGGGTGTAGAGGATGCCCAGCGGACTGATGAAGGAAACCCCATCCTCCCCATCCACCTCGGGGTCATTGTTTGAGGCTGCGTTGCCGCCTGTGGCAAACCAGAGAAGAGTTTAACGCAGAGAGGTGTGTGCCCAAGTCTCAACACACGTGCGCATCAGCAGGGCATGCAGCGGGGCTCAGGGAGGGGCCTGGGGGGCTGGGGCGATGGGAGGGAAGGGAGGCTCAGGGCACAGAGGCTGCACTTGGGCTTGGCTTAGTAGACGCCAGATGTGTGGGTCACTTTCCCCTCCAGGTCCAGGCCAGCTCCCACTGGGGAGTCTCTACCACTCTGCTGGGGCCCCAGTAGGATGCAGTCCATGTGAGCAAGAGTTGGAGAAGTTCTAGTCTCCCCAGACTGAGTTGGCCCCTTGGGGCCTCTTCCAGGACTGGCCACGGCAGTAGTACTGAGGAATTGCTCTCCAGGCTCACAGGGTCAGGGTTAGGGCATGGGCGGATGGGCCCCTGTGCCTTTAGGCTCCTGTCCCTCCTTTCAGCTAGGGCTGGGTTGTCTTTGGGCTCCCCACCTTGGGTTCCTCCCACCCACCCCGGGCTTGGAAAAGAAGAACATCTGGTTAACACAAGCATCTTACACACAGCGTAAAGCAAAACACAGACAGAACATCACAGTGCGTGCATGCATTGTGTCCTAATCTCTGGGGATGGTGGAGCCATCGCCTCCCAGCCTCTCAGCTTCAGAAGGCTCTTCTGCTCTGCTCTGGAGCCCAGAGGAGAGCTGGGGCCAGTGGCTGGCTGGGCTGGGGCTGCCCACAGCTGCCCTCAGGAGTGGTGCCCATCAGCATGGAGAGAGCTGCCATTCTGGAAGCTGATGGGCTGGGGCAGGGAAGGGAGAGTGAGGAGTCCATGAGGCCAGAAGCCACAAACCAGGCCCTTAGGGAGCTGGCTCGGCAAGGACTTGGGCCAGGCCATCCAAAGGGGACTGGGGAGTCTGGCCTCCAAGGTTCTCATGCCAGCATGACCCTGGGGGTGGCTCAGAGAATAGCCTGGGAAATCAAAGCCCCTTTGTCACTGGCTTTGGTGCGAGGAGATCAAGAATCACACGGGATCTTGATGCTGTTGCTATTTAAGCCTTGAGGCAGGATGCTGGCTCGCAAGCCAACACCCTGCCTCTGGCTGGTCTGGGGCTGAGAGGCGTGCATGGTTACAGATTACATCACAGTCCACACTTGGGGCAGCCAGGGAAGGGCAGGCGAGGGCTGGGGAGAGGACAGGGAGGTGAGGGGCCTAGGACTAAGGGGAGGGGAGTGACACCTTGAACACGAATCATCTTTACCTATATATCCTCCGCCTCCTCCACCTGAGGAGCACCCCCCGCCACCCCCTCCGAAACCCCCTCTTGTCTCCCACCCCCACTTCTTCATGGCCTGGGGGCAGGAATGTCCTCCGGTGGCACCCTCCAGCAAAGATTTTCCAGACCAGAGCAAGGAAGTGTTATCATTCCAGCCACCTCCACCACCTGCAGGAAGAGATGGAGAAAACCCCAAGTGAGGATGCTGGCAAGCTTAGGTTAGCCGCTGGATCTGGCAAAGGAAGCAGGACGTGGTGTGCTTTGAGGGGTGCTGCTCCAGCTCCAGTGCCCAAGGGGCCTGTCTTCAGTGGGGCCTGGGGGCTTCAGAGTCCACAGCTGGAAAACCAGGAGCATGCCCTTTGCCCTAGGGGGACCTGCTTTGGCCATAGTCATGCATGTCCAGATGGGAGTGTGCCTTGAACCTCTGGTTCCCGTCAGGCCTCTGGCTCAAAGGCCAGGCAATGTGCTTGGTTCGGGATGGGGCGAGGTTGGGGGACAGGCAGCACGCCAAGTAAACTTGTCCCTCTGCTTTCTTTCCATGCCCGCCAAGTCCAGAAGTGCTGGGCCTTTCTTTCATTACCTGCTTCCCATCCCAACAAGAACCAGGACCCACCAGTCCTTAGGCAGCCAACTGTCTAGCCCTGCCAGGTCACTGCAGTGAAGTTCCTTGTAGGAATCCTGGACCAGGCACCAGATAACCCAACAGGCTCTACCGTTTACTGGCTGTGAAGCCCTGGGCAAGACCTTTCCCATTCTGAGCCTCAGTTTCCTCACCCGTAACTTGGTGATGATAAGACTGGCCTCATGGGGTTGCTGTTAGGATCAAAGGAGACAGTGAGTGTGTGAAATGCTTCATAAACCACAAAGTGTAGGATCGCTGGGCATTTGTGAGGCAGAACACACGCAAGCAGAAGGCCTCACACTCTGAAGCTTAGTCTGTTTTGGGGTCGAAGCTCAGGCAGTGTCTTGTCTGCCTGATTCTAAGGACCTGCTCCAAGGTCGGGAGCAGAGAGAGGGCTGGGGGTGGGGGGGGGTGGGGGGCCGGGCTGGCGATACCCTCGTGTCAATGGCAGCAGCTGAGCTGTGCTTCCCAACCCCTGGGGCTGCTTTGAACTCTTGCAAAGGAAATGTTATTTACAGAGCTGAGGGTGAATGCAACTTTATTTTAAGGCCACAGGCTGAGCACAGTAAATCTCTCCTGCTGGCCCTTGAGATTCCAGGACCCCCACCCTCTCCCTCCGTATCGTTCTGTATGACATTTCAACAGGCAGTCTACTCCAAAAGACCCCAAAGCTCGTTCTGCTGCAGCAGATGATGGGTGGTGGGGACCTGGAGAAGCAGCAGTGTCTGGGCATGCTGGAACCATATGGATTAACCGGCCTGGAAGGGTCATCTGGAAGAACTTGTGGCCAAGGTTCTTCCGGACCCAGAAGGGGCAGCAGAGGGATGTCTAGGTGGGGACAGAGATGACTATCGTGCTAGAAAGAGGGAGCCAGGTTTCAGGAAATGATGCCACGGTCAGGAACAAGCTCAGATCTAGAACAGGGACAAGCAGAGCTGAATGGAGGCCCCGAGGCAAGTTGTGGGGACTTTTGTCAGCTTTGGAAGCGGCCGGGCTGGATTGTTGCGCCTGAGTTTGAGGTGGCTGGCCTCCCTTCTGCCGGCCAGATGGTGGGGTGGGGGCCTGTCAAGGCCGATGTGATGTGGCAGAGGGAAGGCCCCTCAGCTCCATTAGGGACCAGAAGTGGGCTCTGGAGGCCATCAGGGCCATGAGCTTAGAAAATAAGTTGGGCTGAGACGGGCCTGATACCACGTGTGCCCTCCCTCCCTTGCCTGCACCACCACACGCTTGCGTCCTGCACAGTCCCCAGCTGAAGTGGTTTCTAACCCCCACCCCCATCTTGCAGCCTTTGGGCAAATGTGTGGAAAAGAAAACAATGGACATAAAAGTAACAACAAATCAATAACAACAAAGTTTTAAAAAATGGATTGAGTACAAAAGAGTTTGGCCAAGTTGAGAAAAAAATTCACCCAATCTCTATGAGTTTATTGACTCTTCTGTAAAATGGGAATAATATCTTTCTGGAAAACCCTATAGGATTGTTTTGAAAAGCACATGTGGAAGTGCTCTGTAATTCACTAAATGCTGAACCTGGTAAGGGCGCTGTAAATATTGCTGGAGGCAATTCCTCACCACGGACCGACAACTGTTTCTACTCTTTCTTCTATCTCTAGCCATCTCTCGATTGAAGAGAAAGTTTGAGTATTTATTTTAATTAATTTCAAATCTTAAATGCCTTCAAAATTCCACCTGCAGTCTGATTGTGGAGAAAAGAAAATATAAAAATGAATTGTATCTTCTGTTTAGAGATGTCTGACTTCAGAGGAATCAGAGAATTCACATCTGTCCTCTATTTCTGGGTGGCTGGCTCTCACCAATGAGAACAGAGAGCACAGCTGTGGAGATTCCAGAAAGATTTTCCAGTGAGGAGATGTGTGAGCTGGCAGCCCGGGGCCTGGAGGGATGAACCACAGGGGCCTGGGGGGCCTGACTCTGCCCAGGTTTCTTCCACCTGCTCACATCCAATTGCTTTTGGTAGAATCCTGGGAGCATTGGGCTGGCCGTCCGAATGCTGCTGCCTGTCTCATTTTCCCAGTGACCTTCGGCAAGTCTGCATCCATGTCAGCAAAGTGGCCTCCGGGTGCCCAAGCTGCTGCCTGCCCTCGCTCCCTTGGTACTGGTGCCAATATCTAGAGCTCCCAGCATCTCAAGTACCAGCGACTATGATGCCCACAGGTGTGTGATGGCGCCCGGACAGAGCTGAAGCTCACCCAGTCCCGGTCCCGGGAGAATGTTCTGGGAGAGGGCGGGCTTGCAGTGCTTTACCTGCGGCTCCAGAATTGCCGTTGAGCCCCAGAACCGAGGAGTTATTCTCCAGCCTCTCTGGGTGGAACGTGTCTGTCTTGGCCCCATAGGCCCTGCCGCCACCGCCGGCTGCAATGATCAGGGGCACTGGCACGCCATCCTTCATCTGCTCGGTGGGACATTCAGAGATTGAGAAACCGGGCTGGGCTTCCACTCTGGAGACCCCTGAGCCCTGGTTTCAATGTAGAAATACATCTGAGCGTTTGCGGGGCGGTGGGTGACACCTCGGTACTCTGAGGGCTCTGAACTCACGTTACAACAGCCCATCATCTTCCCACCCCCACCCCACCCAGCCCCCGTATCAGTCAGGGTTCGATCAGAGAAACAGGAGCACCAAGAGATAGAAATAGATATACGAATACCCGGAGGCGGGGATCTACCTCAGAGGCTGCTCACACCCGGCTTTCCTGAGGCTCAGCAGACTAGCCTCAGAGGTCGGGTGCTGGTGGTTACAAGCAGGTCCCTCTGCTCTCTCCTTCCTCTCTACTCTCAGGGGTCTCTAGCTCTGACCCCCACCACTTCAAGATTAAGTCCTCAGCATCACCGTCCATGGGGGAGGACCTATCAGGAAGCCTTTGCCTGGTTGCGATAACATCAGAACACTCCACTTCAGGACAGAAGAGGGCACAGGGGACCCTCTGGAGTTCTGAAGCAGGCATGGCAAAGGCCTGCATGGTGAAATCGGGCTGGTAATCAGCAAGCAAAGTCCTGTCTTTCTTGGACAGACAGGGAACTCTAAATCCCTCTGGGCCTCGGTTTCCTCATCTTTAAATGGGACTAAGAGCACCTGAGGCATTTCTTTTCCCGGGCTGTCGTGAGGGTCCCACACCATGACGCCCAGAAGTCACCGCCCCTGGGGAGCTGGCACAGCCAACCTACCTTAAACACGTAGGTGGCCCCGCCCCCTCCTCCGCCCCCTCCTGCCCACTCGTGCACGCTTCTGTTCACGCGGATTTCTTCTTCTATCACGTTGTTCTCTCCAATGCAGACTTTCTGGATTAATCGGTTTGTCTGTAGAAACAAAAAGCACCTCATGTTTGTGCCCAAGGTTCTCTACTTCCCAGGAGATAGATCTTCCACACTTAAAGATAGAGTCTGGCAACCTCTCCAGTAGCTTACAGTTAAGTTGAGGAGACAAAAAATATACACAGATAACCATCACTCTTGGCAGCTTTGGAGAAGGACCACAGGGTAGCTTCGATGGAAAAATATGTGGGAAGTTGAGGGAGGGAGAGCGAGCCTTTGTTGCTGATTGGTGGCCAGGGAGGACTGCCTGCAGGAAGTGGCATTTAATTGGGCCTTGAAGGATAGGGAGATTTTTAAACACAGAGAATGGGGGAAAGTTAGGTCATTCCAGCGGGAGAGAACACCATGAGCCCAGAGGGAAGGAGGTGAGTGGAGTATTTGGGGAAAAGCACAAGGAGACTCTGGCTCAGAAAAGTCCATCTTAGGACAGAGACATGGTCTCAGAGGACCTGTTAGGATCCTTTGGACTCTCAAGAGGGGGTGAGAAAGGTGAGATAGGGCTGGAGGGAGTGTAAATGGTTGTGGGTAGACGGAACTAAACTGGACAGTCAGATTACGGCCAGAGGCCTTGAATACCATCAGACAAAGAGTTCATTCTTTGTCTTCATTCTTTAGGCAGTGGGGAGCCATTGAGGTATTGTGAGAAATTACAGTTCTGAAGCCTCATGGGAAGAGAAAAAAGAAGCGGGAGGCCAGACTCGGATCTTCTTCCCAGCTCATCTTTGGGAAAATCATTTTTCTATTTGGGACATCTCATTCCTCCCAGCGAACGTCCCATTTGTTGCCTCCAGAAATGCCCTGGCACAGCCCTAAAGAGAGCTCTCTGCGTGCACCATGGAGGACAGGGTGTGAACTCTGGAAATAACAGACACCCCAGGACAGCTGTGGAGGAGGCGCTCGATCTCTCTGAGATGCAGTACAGGACAAAGATAAAGACACTGTAGGTCATGAATAGTACAGGAAGGAGTCTAGGGTAGTGTCTCACATGTGTTAGGGACTGAGTAAATGACCGCTGTTATTTTATTTGGATTCGCTTCTGGGCCCACATGTGGTCCTGGTGTGGGGCCAGGCATCTGGGAATCCCTGGGGATGTGCTGGAAAATCCTGTGACACAGTATCCTGGAATCTTTGAATAAAGAAGGCAGTGTTCAAGAACAGCCACCCTGCTTGTTGGCCACAGCAGCTAAGATGAACTCTCCATCAGCCTGACCTCAGAGGAAAATGACTTTTCTTTCACTTAATAGAAAAAAGGCCAATAAAACATCAAATTTCCATCGAATGCTGCTGTGTAACCAGCCAGTGGACATGGCAATTCATCTCAAGCCACTCCTTATGCTAATACACTCAGGGGTGCAAGCAATGAGTACTAGAGAAATTTCCAGATAAATAGCCGAGATGCAATTTGTTTTATGGCATTTCGGATTTAATGATGGAAATAATTTGATATTTCTTAGAGTGGATTTAGTGTGGGTGGAAGGCTCTGAATTGCTATTATAGAGAGCTGACATTCCTCCTGTGTATGTGCAGTGCGGACCAGGGCTGGGGGTAGCGGGGTGGCACTGCTGGAAGGAAACCCTGCTAACTGTTGCCTGGGGAGGGCATGAGGTGCAAGGGGCTTGCCCTGAGGGCTGAGCCCTGGGGCAGGGGACAGAAATGTGGGCTGTCAGCTGGGAAAAGTAGAGCCCAGAATACAGGGTCCAGTCTGGCTTCTTGACTGGCTCTGCGGGAGATTTGCCCGACCACTTTGGTGAGGCACCTCACCTGCCTGGGTCTGCCTCCTTCTCTGTAAATCGGGGAGCTGCCAGTCTGAACCAGTGGTGCTAAGATGATCCATCCCCTCAGACCTGCTCCCTCTCCTCCTCTCCTCTGCCCAGCAGCAGTGGGGCCCCCATCCCTTGGGGATGCCCTTTTCCCTGAACAGAATCTTTTTTTTTTTTTTTTAAAGATTTTATTTTTATTTTTTGCCCCCAAAGCCCCAGTAGATAGTTGTATGTCACAGCTGCACATCCTTCTAGTTGCTGTATGTGGGACTCGGCCTCAGGCTGGACAGAGAAGTGGTGCCTCGATGCGCACCCGGGATCCGAACCCGGGCCGCCAGCATCGCAGCGCGTGCACTTAACCACCAAGCCACAGGGCCGGCCCCCTGAACAGAATCTGAAGATGCCTGGAGATTGCCGAAGCGGGGAGGAGGAAGCAGTCGGGCTGGAGGATGGCCTTTCCTCTAACTAGAGCCCGGACTCGCACCCATCTCCTGCTGCCCCTGCTCCCGTGTCTCCTTTAAATCAGGTGAGGGGCAGAGAATGATTCTCAGTCTGCATCTCGGTGGGCCCAGCAGCAGCTTTTGGCAGAATTGATCACTTCTCCGTGATATACTTTCTTTACCTCACTTCCAGAAGGCCACACCCTCTGGAATCTCCTCCTACCTCCCGGGCTCCTCCTCCTCAGCCTCCTTCTGGTTCCTCTTCTTTTCTCTATCCTCTAAATGTTGGGGGCCCCCAGGGCTCAGTCTTTGGTCTTCTTCTCAATCTGTAACGCTCCCTAGGCAATCTCATCCTGTCATCCTGTCTCAACTTTATGCTGGTTTCTCTCAAATTAGTATCTCCACTCTAGACTCCTCTCCTGAACTCCAGCAGCACATCTCCCGTTGTCTACTGAAGTCCCCACTTGGCTGTCTACCAGACCTCTACAAGTCAGCATGGCCCACACTAAACTCCTGATCAGCCCCCAAACCTGCGGCATTCCCCAACTCAGGTGACGGCAGCTCCCTCCTTCCAGTGGCTCAGGCACAATTCTTGGAGTCATCCTTGACCCTTTCTTCTCTCAGTTCCTCATCAAATCGGACACAAATCTTTTCGGATTTTACATTCCAAATGTGGCCAGAATTCAACCACTTTTCACCACCTCCACTGTTACCATCCTGGCCCAAGCCACCATCCTCTCTTGTCTAGATTAATGCAATAGCCATTGAATTCATTGCCCTGACTCTTCCCTTGAGACTATGGGGTCTATTCTCCCCATTGCAGCCAGAGTGAGCCTTTTAATATGCAAATCGAATCAGGTCACTATTCTTACCTTTTGGCTCAAAACGCTCCTATGGCTTAAATATGTCCTTATGATGGCCCGATCTGGTCCCCATTACTTCTGACCTCATCTCTCACCTACTCTCTTGCTCCCTCCAGTCATCCTGGCTGTTCTTGAGTACACTAGGCTCGCTCCCACCTCAGGGACTTGGCCTCTGCTCTGCTGGAGTCCCCAGACTCCTGGTTCAACCCTTCACCTCTGTCAGGGCTCTGCTCAGCTGTCATTTCTTCAACAGGCTTCCCGTGACCACCTTATTTAAAATTACAGCCTGCCGCGCACACTTGACTCCCTTTACCCTGCTTCTATTCCCCAGACACTTTCACTTTTGGATGTTCTGATTAATTTATGTTTCCTAGTTATTGTCTGCCCATCCCTCCTCCCCCAGCATGAATGGAAGCTCCTTGAAAGCAAAGATCTTCTGTCCATGGATGTATCCCAAGTTCTTAGAACAGTGACTGCCACATAGTAGGGACTCAATTAATATTTGCTGAATACATTTGAATGAGTTGGGAGCTGGCTGGGTGTGGTCTGGCCCCTCACAATTTTCCATTGTGAGTGATGGTAATGGTGAGATTTAACAATCAGACCAGTGATTTTGCTCCCTTGGAGATATTTGGAAATGTCTGGATGCATTTTTGATTGTCATTATTGGAGGATGCTACTGGCATCTGGTGGGCAGAGGCCAGGGATGCTGCTAAACAGCCTACAGTGCACAGGACAGCCCCATCACAAAGAATTATCTGCTCCAAAATGTCGCTAGTGCTGATGTTGAGAAGCCCCTGAGTCATGCCACCAGATGAGGCTAGGAAGGAACTGGAGAAGTGGGCTGAGGGGGATGTGTGTGGGGTTTCCAGCAGCTGGAGCCCATTCTGGTCTCAGGAGTGGCCAGGCACAAAGGAATAGCGATTGCACACAGATGTGCAGTTGAACCAGCAAAGCTGCCAAATTCTGCAGTTTAATTCTTAGGGTCTGTTTCATTCTATAGAGGATCCTCTCTAGATATCATTCTTCTGCGGAGGGAGGAGTGCAGATTGAGGTGGTGCCTGTAAATGGCCTTTCTTTCTCCCTCTCACAGTGACTCCTGGGGTGTGGAGGTGTGGAGCAACCCAGAAGACCAATTACTTTCCCCCCCGGGCCCATGCTATGCCCGGCCCGACCAGCAGAGAGGGCCGCCCTCGGTCCCTGGCTGAGAATCAGCTTCCTTGGCACTCTCCCTGCGCATCGACAAAGTTTGAGAGCAAGTAGGTTGATTAATCAAATGATAAATTGCAACAACCCAGAGGAACAAGTAGATTACAATTGAATTAAAAATAAAAAAAAGGATGCAGTCCTGTGAAAAGACATAACTGATTACAATCCAATCAAGTCAAAGTCCCTTGCAGAACTCAATGCAATCTTTCCGCTTAGATGAAAGAATTACATTAGCACTCAATAAATTCCTGTGAAAATTACAGTAGCCTGTAATTTAATGACTTAATATATTATATCAGGTTGGAAAGTCCTGATTATAGCTGCTAAATAAAAGTTGGAGTCCAGACAGTTCTCACGCACAAGGCTGCACCTGCCTAGCTTACTCCTGTTGCTTTGTTTTAACCCTGTAAAGTGGGGGTGGGGGATCGCTGTGCTTTACTCCTAGCTCCCAGCCTGGGGCCTAGCTCTTAGGAGCCCTGAGTTAATTTTGTGGAACTGAAATGCTTTCTCAATAGCCTTTGTTCCCACATCTGTCTTCCAAAGCTGCTCTCAAATAATTTCCTGGAGAAGAAGCCCTGGGTCCTGGGCACTAGAACCAGCTCCCTTCCCAGGCCCTGCCCACCAGGCCAGAAACTGGGCTTCAGGTGAGGGTAGGGCCTGGCCCAGTGAGGAGACACATCTTGCAGGTGCCGAGTTCCTCCAGGACAGCCAGCACGGCCAGGGTCCTGCCTCCCCCAGACATAGGCAAGAGGCAAACAACTGGGGTGCTGGGAGTTTGCATGGCTATGCTTTACTAGTCTTCACTGTCTCCTTCTCCTGGTAATTTTAGACCACTAACAGCTTTCTTAAGTCCTGCTGTTGGAGCTGTCCCTCTTTGACAGCTGGACACCCCAGTGGGGTCAGGAACCAGAATGACAGGCTGTCTCTGGGGCTGCAGAGAATGGCAGTCTGGCTTGTCAAGTGATGGGCTGTAGGTGAAAAAGGGAAAAAGGCTATAGAAACTGAGGCCCAAGCAAGTGTGGGTCAGCAAAAACAGGAGCCAGAGTCCCTTCTCTGTGCTGCGCTCCGAGCTACTTTGGACAAGTCCCTTCACCTCAGTGGTCTCCCTTTTCTCATCTGTAAAATGGGGGAAGTGCACTACATGGTCTTCCAGCTCTGAGTCGGTGCTTTCCAATTTTTTTTATTTTTATTTTTAATCACACAAATAACAAATAATATATGAATCCATTCTCTTTGTAACAATATCAGACATTACTGACAAAGTCCCCTCAACCCCAGTCCCCTCCTCGAAGCAACCACTGTTATCTGTATCTTTCAGAACTTTTTCTACTCATTTATGTACATATATGTGGCTATGAGTCTGTGATTTTGAGCTGAACAAGAAATGTTTAACCTGGTGCTTTCCTGGTTATAATATGGCTGAAGACAACGGTGCCCTAGCAAGAAAGTTTAGGAAGTGGGCTTCAACTCCTACTTCTGCTGAGAACAACCATTTGCCCATTCAAGTAGGATTCAGTTCTTCAGTTTTAAGGGTTGCTCATGAAACTCATGCCTCAGCCTTGGTCCCTGTGGGGATGTGAAATCCCAACAGCCACACCACCCGCTTTCCCATGCACCCAAATGGCCCTGGAAAGGGAGCGGCAAGGGGCAAGTCCTGCCATCTGTGAACGTGAGCTCCCAGAGGGAGTGTGTCCAGCCTTGGTGCCCTCTGAGGGGCCTGCTTGGGTCCTAGTGAGTGTGGAGGAGAAACCCCTGCTCTGGGCACTTACGCTGGGGCAGGCGTCTTCCCCCTGTTGCCCGACCAGGATGTACAGTGTGTCGTCCTTCTCCAGGTTGAAGATGCCCAGCACAGACACGCCGTGGGACCGCATCATGGTGTTCTTCCCGCCTTTCCCGCCGGCGGCTCCATAGCCCGAGATGCTGCAATGGGACAAAGCACATGGGATCCTTCCCTGGTGTGAAGACCAACCCCCTTCTTGCCAACCCAGCAGCTTCTAGTGGGCCAAGTGCACCACCGTCCCAGTCCTGAGGGTTCTCACCCACATCCGCCCATGAGGTCAGCAGGGAGGGCTCCTCTCTCCACTGTCAGGAGAGGACAGGCAGATCTAGAGAGGGCCAGGGAATTGCCCCATTCACAGAGCTAGGAAGGTAAAGAACTAGTAATGGGTGCAAGAGAGAAAGAGGGAGAAGACTGGGGGGCTTGGAGAGAGAGAAAGAGAGAGAGGGAGGACAGGGAGAGCCTGCATTAATGTGGGGTGTTGGGGTGCTGGTGCCCTGGATACCTGGGATTTCCCATTATGGATTTCTCTCCCTGTCCAAGATCAAAGGACTCATGTGACTTTAGACAAGTAACTTAACTTCTCTGTTCCACATCTGTAAAATGGGGATTATAAGAGAACCTACCTTCTAGCCCATGTGTGTTGTGAGGATTAAAAGAATTAAGACACGTAGTGTTAGTACTGTGCCTGGCACATGATAAGCACTCAATAAGTATTTATGATGATGATGATTATCAATGGTGGAAGTAGCAGTGATTGCCTTGGTACAGAGTTTTAAAGTCTCCCCACGAGGTCTAGACACAAGGTGGTCCCACATGGAATGATTGAGGAGAGTGGTGTTTGTGAGCACCGACTGTTTATTCCCATCCCGCCAGTAACTCCTTCGGGAGCAATATGCGTGCAGACAACAAACAACAAATCATGACGAAAATAAAAACAGAGTGTGGGGACATGGGATTATTTCTGCTGCCTCTTAGGTTGTTGAGATGAAGTCAAGCATGGATGGGAAAAAAAGAATTCAACTGGTGGACCGTGTCAGAAGAGCTGCATGTCTTGAAGAGAGCGAGGGGACCAGCTACAAATGCCTCCCCGGAGACCAGCTGACAGGGAAAGGGACTCGGGAGGTTTTCATGTCCCCACGCATTCAGATCCAATGTCCTTCACGAAAAGCTTCCCGAAAGAGATGTAAGGCGGCTTTGCTCATGTGCACACACGTGGCTTTTCCACCTATAATTCTAGAAAATATCCCATGTTCCAAATGTGCGAGGGGCCTCCTGGGGGCTCTCCTAAGGCGGAGCTCAGGCCCATTCTGCAGAGACAAGCCTGGAGGGCTGGCTGATTGCTAATGCAGCAGGTGAGAAGCTGAGGTCTCCTTGGAGGGCAAAGGAGAGTCTGGTGCCCATCGCCCTGCCAGGCACTGATCAGAGCCCACTGCAAGCCAGGTGTGGCATAAAGCTGTGTGCGTAAGAGGAGATCTGAGATGGGCTCCAGGCCCTCAAGGGGCTTACAAAGAAAGTGGGGAGATAGTCATAGTTATGCAAAGAGAAATCTCATCATAAGGGCTACATTGGGGAGGCAAGGTGGAGGGACCAAAGGGATCTGGGGTTCCATGATCAGAGTGGACCATTTCCTAGCTGTGTGTCCTCTCAGAGTCCCAGCTTCTTCCTAGTCAAAAAGGAACCCTATCTTCTTTTCGGAACTCACAGGGTAATAGGGAGGTTCAACATCAAAAGGAGATAATGGGGCGAAAGCTCTGAGAAAGGGGCAAATCTCTGCACAAAGTCAGGGCCATCAGGTGCTCAGGGCCCAGGAGGGAGACAGATGACTGTGACAGGCGTCAGAGGCAGTGGCACGCTGCAGGTCTTGGTTGGTTGCGGGGGTAGGGGTGGAGGTTTGAAGTTGGTTTTAAGGTGGAGATGATGGATGGGTAGGACTCTCAGACAAGCAGGAAGAGATGGAGGGTAGGAGTCAGGTTTTGGTGAACGGAAGTGAAGAGGCAGGAAAGCCCGTGGTATGTCTGACTGCAGCAGGTGGCTGAAGTGGGGAGGCAGGGGTTATAGGTCTGCAGAGGGAAGTGGGGGCCAATTCCTGAGCATCCTACAACGTGCCAGGCATGAATGCACGTGACATCCCCCAACAGCCATAAACAGGAGATGTTAGTAGTCTCATTTGACAGATGAGGAATCTGAGGCTCAGAGGGATTAAGTAACTCATCTGAGGCCACACAGCTGACCAGTGGCAGCTGATCAGCTGGTCCAAACCCCCCACATTTCCCCTCATAGAGGCCATTTCCTCTCTGATATGCTGCTGTGAGGCTTACATGGCCGCACAGTGAGGGTGGTCTAAGAAGCTACTGTCCATCCTAATTCCCTCAGCCCCTCAGCCAAACCCTTGCTCCTGATCCATGAGAAATGGAGAAGGTGATAAGGACAATTAAAAGGCTGAGGAAAAAGGAAGGCTTATTGGTGAAAGGAAAGCAAGCAGATTTAGCTCCGAGAACAGAAGCCTGGGGCAGGGGGTGGTGAGAGCAGTGGGGGTCCAGACTGTCTGTGTGGAGTCAAGAGATAGCAATGTGGATGGGCCCCCCTCTGTCCTGCTCATGGCTCGGGTTTCTGGGGCTTTGTCAGGTTGCATGAGAAAGTCTTTTCAACCTGAAGCTGTGGTTTGCTTGGAAAACTGCTGCCCGAGACGGAGTCCTTTCCTACCCACTCCAGCTTACGGCTGAGAGGTAAGCGGTACCCTTCTCATCCCTTTTTGCATCATTTGCATAGTCATCTGCATCAATCTGCATGCATTATGAATCATTCTGAACTCTTTCACATGTTTAAATTTAGACAAATCATTATATTTTAGAAGTTTGTTCTTGACTCGTTTTTTCCTCCCTAAGTCTTCTTTCCTACTTCTCCTGCCCCAGCCAAATCTGAACGCCAGCCCCACCTAGGTCTTGACCTAGTTGTTGGCCATGAGGTGGGCTGGAAAGAGCCCGAGCTCTGAGTCATACACTGGGTGCTCTGCTGGCTGTGTGACTTGGGGCAACGTGGTTACCTCTTGGAGCCTCCGCTTCCCCTACCAAGAAAAGAAAGGAGGACAAGGACCCTGCCCTCACGGGGATAAGCAGTGTATTTGAAAAGACTGCAAACAGATGCCAAGTAAAAGGTAGGACTCAGCTGTATAGATTCCAGAGTAGACGGTGGAGCTTGACAACCAGGCCTCAGCAGCTGGATTTTCCTTTCCCGTATGATGGTCGTGTTTCCAGCCTGGACTAGGGACTGGCTTCAAGTCACGGGGGGCAGGCAACTGCCTGCCTGAACTAGTGTGGGGAAATAGGCCTGCCTTACCAGCCCTCTGAGACCTCACATCCCACCATAGAGCTTCACTCCTTTGGAAGCTTCTAGTTGCTCCTACTACAAGGCTGATCTCTGGAGTGGGCTGTGCCACAGTGAAAAAAGCATGGGCTTGAATGCAGAGAGACCGGGATCCAAATTCAAGCTCTGTTACTCAGGGCCAGGGGTGGGGTGAGGCACCTCCCTCTCATGGGCCGACCCAGTACTCAGGGCTCTCACCCTGAGAGCCAGTGCCTCCTTAAATTTTGTGTCCGAGGCACCTTGCTGACCTCTCCTGGGCCTGGCCCTGCCAGTGTTCCTCATTAGCTGTGTGACCTTGGGTAGGTTATTTACCCTCTCTGAGCTCCATTTTCCCCACCTATAAAAGGGGGATAATAATACCTACCTTGAAGGTTGTTGTGAGAATTAAATGAGATAATGTCTATAAGGGACCTAATTCAGCACCTGGAGGGTACCCAGGGAGCAACAAATAGTCGCTGCTGTCCTGACGTACCCTGGGGGGTGAGCCTGTCCACTCCTCTCCCAGGGGTGACTTCTGGGAGGCAGAAAGGGGTGAGTGAATGAGGCTCTGATTTCTAGAGAGCAGGACAAGAGGTGGAGCAGGGTGTGGCCGAGGGGACCTGGAGTCAAGGCTGCTCAGTTTCACCCACGACCCACCTCTATAAGGAGCCAGTGGGAGCACAGGCCAGCCTTGGCACTTCTGAAGACGCTGGAACCATATGAATCATGTTAGACAAACTCGTGCCAGAATAATAACCACAGCCTGAAGCTCTGAAGCTTTCTCTCCACCCCTCGTAAACAATTTATTTTTGGTAGTTGATGAATGACAACAAATTAATATACCTGCCACTCAAATGGGGAAAATGACACGCAGTGATTCCAATTTACTGGAAATTATAAGATACTGTTCTCAACGAGCTGATGCTGTAATTTTTTTTGTTTTTCCTCTTCTAAATCCATGTCCCCTGGTCAGAATGGATGTTTATTGGGTTTGCGTTTTGTATTATTGACTGTGAGCTATTGTTACCTGATGTAATTGAGTTGTGAATCTTTTTTAAACAAAGAATTAGCAGCAAATCAAAGTGGCTGCCTGCTGGATCATGAAATGAGAGCACAGCTGGTGTGCAGCACAACGGCAGTGTTGGCCCCACACCTCCGAGAGGATGCTGGGGGGCGGTAGAGGGGAGGGAGGGAGCCGACTCCACTTGGAGAAGCATGACGCACCTCATTTCTCCCCTGCACCCCACTCTGGGCTCTGCCTCTAATTCCCAGTGGGACTTGGGCTAGTCTCTTTCCCTCCTCCGATCCTCTGTTTCCTCCTCTGTGAAATCACGTTAGTAAGATCCTACCGGACAGGGTTATTGTGAGCACAGGAGATGTGTGAGTGTGTACAGGGCTTGGTCATTGGAAATTTCTGTTCAGATGTACAGTCGTATTATGCAGATGAGGCATCTGAGCCACCAGGAGACACCTCTGGGGGTCAGCAGTGAAGGGCCAGTTGTGGAGGCATGTGCTCCTTGCTGCCCAAGTTCCATTCTTGGGCACCAATTGCATTGCATTGGCGATTGCACCAAAGAGCAAGGCTCATCGTCCACTTCTTCCCTACAACCTTCTTGACCAGAACAGCCCTAAGCACCTGGGAATATCAGAGCCGGAGGAGATCTCGGTGACCTCTCTCTACAACCCCTCCCTCTACAGATGGGGCCACTGTAGGGGGGCGAAAGCACACTTTCAAGGTCACATGCTATGTTGGTGGCAGAAGTTGGACCCAACTCCATTCTGCCTGCAGCCCATTGAT